ATAAACAAATAAATAATAATAATGAATATTATTTGCATTGGCAAAAGCACCACAAAAGATCATAAAAAAATAAAGAAAGAATTATTAAATTAATATTATGAGCAATATTAGCAACTAAATAAATGAACAAACAGGCAAACAAATAAAAAAATAACAAAAATTATTTGTTTAATAAAGGTAAAAAAGATGTTCACTCATTGTATGATGCCACTACTAACTAAATTAAAATAACAAAAAATATTAATACTGAAAATTATTAGACCACAAAAATGAATAAATAAACATTATTAGCATTGTTAGCAAGAGCATCACAACTCTTTAATAGATAAACTCATGAAAAAATGTTATTAAAAATATTTTTAAAATTAAAAGAAAAAGGATGTTCACTTATTGCATCATATATATATATATTTGATATATATATATATATAAAATAATTTATTTATTTGTTCAGTTAATATAAATATATTTAAAAAGTATATAAAAACATAATATTATATTAAAGACGTATAATAATAATTATATTTTTTAAATTATTGTTTTTATTATTATTATTGTTAATAATAATAATAATAATAATAATAATAATAATTGTAGTAACTCAGAGATAAAACATTGTTTTTAAATTTGCATCCATAAATTTTTCAAACATTTGAATGCAGAGCCACATTTTTAGCGCAGTCAGTTGGTCTAATTTATCTGGATATGGGCACAAAGTTATTTTTGACCGACAGAGTCATAATCAGGATTCAAAGGCCATATGTGCACCGTTGAGCATAAGATGCGATGCATTTGTGGTAATTACAGCGAGAAAGGGTTTATGGATTTAAGTGTAGATGTGTGCTCCTTTCAGAAGGTCAGACTGACAGATACAGTCATCTGTATTAATCTAATGGAAGAGCATGATGGAAAAACAAATGTGACATCTATCACAAAAGACAGACTCCTCCCATGAACAGTGGATCCTATTTCTGTCTACATCAGCTTTTTTATAGGCTGGAGTTTGACATCCCGAATGAATGAAATAAAGAGAACTTTATACAGAAAAAATAAACATATTTAAACATTTTAATAGTGTGGTTTTGTATTGTTTAAAAAAGATAAAGCAATTAATTATATTTCTAACATATTTTTTTCCTTTAATAAACAAGTAATTAAATATTTATTTATTTATTTATTTATTTATTTATTTATTTATTTATTTATTTATTTATTTATTTATTTATTTATGTCTTTGTTTGTTTATTTGTTCATTCATTTAGTTGTGGTCAATTTCGCTAATAATGCTAAGAATATTAATTTATTCATTCTTTATTTCTTTATTATGATTTTTTGAGGTGCTTTTGCTAATGCAAATAATATTCATTATTATTAATTTATTTGTTTATTTTTGATTGATTTTGCTAATAATGCTCTTATATATATTATAATTTTCTTTGTGGAGCTTTTAATAATTAAAACTCAGATTTTAATATTTAATTTTGTAATTATTTGTAATATACTTCTAAAGTAATCCAAACAACACGGATAAATCGATTGTATTTATTTATTTATTTATTTATTTATTTATTTATTTATTTATCTATCTATTTATTTATTTATTTTGTTTATTGTTTATTTTTTATTTGCTAGTTTGATTTATATAATTAGTATTTTTACTTATTTATTTATTCAGTTGTTAGTTACATTTATTTATTTAATTATTGTTTGTTTATGTATTATTTGTTTGTTTATTTATTTTTTTCTTTATTTACTGTTTTATTTCTTTATTAATTTATTTGTTAATTTTAATCAATCATTTTAACTCTTAATTATTATTTATATGTTTATTTATTAATTTATTTACATGTTTATTAATTTACTTATTTATTTATTCATTCATTTATTTTTTAGTTTTATTTATTTATTAGTTTATTTATTTTTTTGCTTGTTTATTTATTTATATATTTATTATGTTATTTATTTATTATTAAATTTTTTTTTTATTTTTTTTTATTTTGATATATACATTTGTTTATTTATTTATTTATTTATTTTTGTATTTATTTATTTATTTATTTATTTAGTTAGTTAGTTAGTTAGTTAGTTAGTTAGTTAGTTAGTTAGTTAGTTAGTTAGTTAGTTAGTTAGTTAGTTAGTTAGTTAAAAATTTTCTTATATATTTTCTGCAACTACGGCAGTGATTTTTGCTGCTTTTTGGGAAAGGATTGTTTTGGTGTAAGGTTTTTTATTTATTTTTTATTTATTTAACTTTTTTTAATTAGTATTTTTGCTCATTATTTTTTATTTATTTATCTGCAATTATATATATTTTCTGTTACTACTGCAGTGTTTTTTTATTTTCTTTTTTTTTGAAAGGGTTGGAGGATAAGATTGTTTTTTTTTTTTTTTTGGAAAAACCTTTATACGTTTTTTCTCTGTAAATAAAAAGAGCAGATCTGCAGTGCTGGAAATCCTACAAAATAACCGCTGAGGGGGAAGTGAGGCTTTCTCAAACGCTGACGGTGCATTTTTACAGCTACAACATGAACACACACACAGACATCTGGAACTTTTCCATAAAAAACAAACAGGAGTGAGAGGTACCAGAGTAAAAGAGGCTTTTCCCTGCGTTTTTACTGCACTGTTTATCCGGACACAGAGCCGTGTGAGATCACGATAAACCCTTATATCCTCTCGTGTCATTTTAAAACCAGCCATTAGTGCAAATGAGGGACTAAGCCCAGTCTGAAGCCGCAGCCCTGGTTTATTTGCTCGTGTGCAGTCAAACACACACACACACACACACACACACACACACACACACACACACACACACACACACACACACACACACACATACAGAACCACAGACGTGTACAGTTATTCAGTAAAGACCACACACTGATGTCAAAACAAGACTCATTATTTTCATTCAGATTTTTTGGTTGCAGCCTACAGTTTTAATTCCGCTGTATTCGATTATTAATAAAAATCACTACAACACTGGATTATTTAAGCTGTGGCTTTAATTAGAATGTTTGCATTTTGTGATTCACAAGTGGTTTCTGTTTATTTATGGTTGTGAATTGCATTATGGGATGTTGATCTCTGCTCTGTTGACGTTTAATGTCAAAAATTTAACTCTACAGTTTAACAAAGGGACTTTTATTAAAATTTCAGTAGTTTTAAATAATGTATGAGAAATTATATATTAGAGAAATAAATGTGTAAAATAACAGAAAATGCACTGGCAGTTTTTTACAAGTTTGTTTTTAGCATAATATAAAACAACCACCTAGACAATATATCACTTCAAACTATTAAAAGTGTTAATAAAAGTCACTTCATTGAACGTTTCAAGCTTAAAAGTTGTTGGAAGAAAGATCAAAGCTCCCATAATGCAATTCAAAAGCATAAAAAATTAGGAAATCTGCTAATTTAGACTTTCTTTTACACTGTAACTACTTATAGCTAAGTATTACTTGACAAACACCACAATAACTAAGAATAAAGGCAGTCTAGAACAGTGGTGGAGTTGATTTATAAACATCAATGAATGTTTGGAGAAGAGACTCACGAGCGAGAGCTGGAGCACAGAGTGATGTGAAGAGAATCATTCGTGTTAAACATCCCGCCAACGTCCAAAGCCAATCCCGACTCCTGCCAGAGACAGAACGTTCAGATTCACTCAAATAATTTCATTATCATCATTAGAAGAAAAACAGATATATATATATATATATATATATATATATATATATATATATATATATATATATATATATATATATATATATATATATATATATATATATATATATATGTATATATATATATACATACAGTATATAAAGAACACGTGTCTGTCGTCACTTGTGAGCATCTCCTGCAGAGTGTTGCCAGATATATCTAAATCCCCCAAATATGCACCAAAATAAATTCAAATC